GAGTGAGAAACATCAATTGGCTGCCTCTTTTAGGAGCCCCGCCTGACCGGGGATCGGCCTGCAGGCTTTTGGGGTACCTGACGATGCTCCGGCCACCGCACCACTCAGCCAGGCCCCCGACACTCATTTTTAAAAGCGGCTGTGGCCTTCCTCAGGAACCACATCTGCCCGAACCCGCTGGCTACGCAGATTAGGGGCAAGGGTGGAGAGAGGAGCCCTCATCCCCACTGTGAAGGTGGATTCTTGGGGACACCCTGATGCCTAAGTGCCAGGCGCTGTTGTAGACCCTCGGGGACAGATGGCGCTACTGTGCGTCAGAATCCTTCACACTCAGTGCGACCCAACCAGGAGCGGGTCAGCTCTGCTGGCCACCAGCAGAGGGCAGTAGGAACCTTTTTTTTTTTTTTTTTAAGCAGCATATTGGATTTGGGGATAAATAGAAATACCACACCTCTTGAACCCAGACCTTCTCTGTGGTGTTGCTGTGAGGCCTACCTAAATAACGGAGATAACAGAAGCACCAACATCACACGTCTTGAGAACTAAACGAGAAAAGACATTGAAAGCGCTCAGCGTGTTTGAAACCATTCTCATGCCGTTGGACGGAAAGCATCCACTTTAACTAGGCGTTAAACCAGGTGGCTCGAGGTAGTCCTTCTGCAGAGAGCAATAACAATAGTGACAACAGAGCAAAAGCCCTAAGTGACTGAAACGGTAACAGAGGATGCAACGCAACCTCACAGTCATCATTGGAGAGAAAGCCAGGAAGTGGGCAGCGTTTAAAAGTACTTTCCCCCAGGTCACCTTTGGGGAATCCCGGTGGTGTGCTTATCCCTAGTCACACTCACCCAGACTCGATGTGGCTTGTTTGTAGATTTCCTGTTCGTCAGAGGGGTTGTTGGCTGGCTAAGGGGGTTCCTAGCTAGACAGCCTGGGGTACCAGGGGCTCTCAGAAAGCGAGCCCATTGTCTCTTGGAGAGAGGAGACAATTGTTTCAAGACTTCTGGACCCCCGGAGCCACTCGGTTAGAATGAGCCAGAATTCAGAATTCAAAAGCCTCTGAGTCCGCCTACCTCACGTCTAGAAACATTCGGGGAGCAAAGCTGGGGAATGGAGTGGGGTTCAGGGGCGGGTGGGAGGACCAGCATCCTTTTACATGCCTCTGAGAACGGCCTGACCGTGCCCGGCCGGCGTGGCTCAGTGGTTGAGCGTTGACCTATGAACCAGGAGGTCACCGTTCAATTCCCGGTCAGGGCACATGTCCGGGTTGTGGGCTCCATCCTGGCCCTGGTCATTTCTCTCTCTCTCTCTCTGTCTCTCCCCCTCCCTTCCCTCTCTCTCTAAAAAGAAACAAACACCCGTTAGATGTTTCTCGCTTAAAAAAGATAAGTTTTCTTTCGATCCCCATGCTCTTAGTTCCTCGTCAGGTTGGTTTGTTCCGGTCCCTAGCTTTTTAGGATGGAGTTTTCTCACCTGTCAGTGTTTCTGAGGTGTCCATGTTTCCCAGCTGACCCATGGTTGGGGCTCATTCAGGGTGTGGTCTGGCTTTGTCACGGGCAAATCCCCGCAGGCCCATGGCCACAGGTGTTGTTCTAGGGACAGTCAGCGACTCAGAGGGAAGTTCTCCAATCCGGTGCCGGAAAGCAGCGACCTGCCTGTGTGCTGGGCTCTGGGGAGCCACGCGGGGAGGCGAGTGTGGGCTTTCTATGGAGAGAGATTTTCTCTCAGTCCCCTCTTCTCACTGCGTGTGACTTCTCCCTCACACCCTCTGCCCTCCGGAGAGTAGGTCCTGGTTTGGTTCAGTGTCGCCCAAGGGTAAGCCTCGGGCCTGGGGCAGCTGTGCTGGGTGGGGAGCTGAGGGGCTGGCGCCGTGGAGAAAGGGCTGCGGAGTGACTCCCTTCACGCCTTCCCCTGTGCCTCCCGTCTCTGTTCTCCTGGCGTTTTGCGCGTCTGCATTCAGGGACCCTTTGTGTCTAGTTCCCGAGCTTTGTGGCGGGTTCTGCCGCAGACATCAGCTCGCTGTTTTCTTGCTTTCTCCCCTCTGGCTCAGACGTTGTCTCCCCTGGTCTGTTAAGTCAGTTACCATTCCTCCACGGGCTCTCCTAGTTTCCCATATGTGGGCTTTAAAAGTAGATTTTCTTATTAACTTCAGAGAAGAAGGGAGAGGGAGAGAGGGATAGAAACATCAATGATGAGACAGAATCACTGATCCGCTGCCTCCTGCACGCCCCCTACTGGGATCAAGCCTGCAACCCGGGCATGTGCCCTGATGAGAATCGAACCGTGACCTCCTGGTTCCTAGGTAGATGCTCAACCACTGAGCCACGCCGGCTGGGCCCATGTGCTAACTTTTCTTGTGTGCTACTGTCTCCTATCTTCCTCCTTGTGCGTGAATTCATGTTTAATATGAAGTAACGCTATTTTAGGGCAGGTTTGGACTTACAGAGAAACGGAGCAGAAGGGACAGTTTCCATGTACAGTCACGCACCATTTCGCGACGGGGACACGTTCTCAGACAACGTGTCATTGCGTGGTTTTGTCGTGTGGGAACCTCACGGAGGCAGTCACACAGGCTTAGGTGGTCTAGCCCGCTGCACACCAAGGCCGTGTCCTCTAGCCCCGTGGTCGGCAAAGTGCGGCTCGCGAGCCACATGCGGCTCTTTGGCCCCTTGAGTGTGGCTCTTCCTAAGCCTTAGGAGGACCCTAATTAAGTTAATAACAATGTACCTACCTATATAGTTTAAGTTTAAAAATTTGGCTCTCAAAGGAAATTTCAATCGTTGTACTGTTGATATTTGGCTCTGTTGACTAATGAGTTTGCCGACCACTGTTCTAGCCTGTTACTCCTGAGCTATTGCTCCTGGGCTGTTGCTCCTGGGTTATTGCTCCTGGCCTATTGCTCCTGGCCTATTGCTCCTGGGTTATTGCTCCTGGCCTGTTGTCCTGGCTACAAGCCTGTGCAGCATGTTACTATACAAAACAGCATGAGATTAAATCAAGCAATAGAGAGTAACATGGCTGCTGTTTACAGCAAACTTTAGAAAGAATACATTGACTGTCATGATCAAATTGTAGTACAGGAAATACTTAAACCAGTGACACGTCACGTATTACCAAGTCCTGTACACGGTCGGGTCTGAACACTTTACCTGGTGGGCAGCGCAGTGGGCTGGTTTACACCATCACCACAAACCCATGAGTAACGCGTTGGCGCCATCGGGACAGTGACAGTGTCACTAGGTGATGGGAATTTTTAGCTCCATTGTGTTAATATAAAAACCATTGAAACCTGTAAACAATTTTTGTGAGTTCATTTGAGCCAAACTGTCGACATATGCCAGGAAGCAGAACCTCAAGGAATTGAGATAATGCTCCGGAGAATGGCGGGTTACATCTGTATTTATACATTGAAATCAGAGGAGGGACGTAGGTGGGTTACATGAAATCCATTGGCGACAGATTAAGGAGGAGGGAGAAAGCAAAGCAGGAAACCCCTGGGATTGGATAAAAAGTAAAATGATGGACACATGCTTAGGTGGGTGCAGGATCAATTAACATGATAATGAAGGAATTTGTGGCATCTGTCCTGGTGCCCAGCACATTTGGCTATGCCCCAGGGGCTCCAGAAAAAAAGGGAAGTTACAAGTTACCCAGACATTTCAAGGGTATGTTATCATAGATGCAAAAAGACAGGCTCAGTTAAGGTAAAGGTTGATCTTGTCAGTGAAGATACCAGCCTAGGATGTAACTGCCCACCATCACTGCTTTTAAAGTTTAATTTCAGACCATCCTTTGTGGCGACTTTAGGTCTCTGAGTTTGCAAGACGGCCATGCAGGCCTCCCCTGAGCTGGTCAGGTCGGCATGTGGCCCCTTCCGTCCACAATTGTAATCTTAGGGACCACAGTCGTGTGTGTGGTCTGCCATTGACCCAAAGGCTGTTATGGCTGCATATAGATATGAACGTGTGCCCAGGAACCAGAACGGAGAGCCCCTGGCTCATTTTCCAAAATCACTTTCTCCGTCTATGTTACATTTGTTGCGAATGTGTTTACCATTTTAGAAGTTCAGGTGCGGCCCTAGCTGGTTTGGCTCAGCGGATAGAGTGCGGCCTGCAGACTGAAGGGTCTGGGGTTCGATTCCCCGTCAGGGCACAGGCCCGGGTTGCGGGCTCCATCCCCAGTAGGGGGCGTGCAGGGGGCGGCCGATGGACAGTTCTCTCATTGATCTTATCCTCTCTGAAATCATTAAAACTGTTTTAAAAACAAACACAAAAACCGCAAGCCGCCAGGAGATAAGGCAGCCGGGAAGGCGCCCCCAGTTGTGAGCGGCCCAACTGCTGGTGGAACCAGGAACCTCGGAGGGAGGATGGGCCCCCACCCGCGGGGTGATTCCGGCCTCTGTGAGTGTCGCTCGCTGCCTACATGGTCTGGGGTGACGGAGGTCCCCCGAGGGACGGGCCCTGTCTCCTGCGCCTGCGATCGCGCGTGGCAGCCGTCGCCATGTGGTTGGTGTCTCGCTCCTGCTCGCCAGACAGGAAATTAACCAGGCGGGTGGGATGGCACGACCCAGGGCGCAGGGAGGCTGAACCGGGAGGGCGCGGAGCCCCGGACAGGCCGGGTTTCGTGCGGGCGCGTCTGCCGGACCCGCGGTCTCCAGCGCCTGGAGCTCGGCCGTCCCGCCCGCAGCCAGCAGAGGGCTCCCGGGCCCGCGCGCGCCCTCGCCAGACGCCAGGCTTCGGGGTTGGGGAGCGAGGCTGGGACCCGGGGCCGAGACGCCACCTCCGAGGTTCCGGCTGGGTCCGCCCGGGCGCGCCCCCCACGGGGAACCGGCGCCGGGGCGCCCCGGCCCCCGGGACGGCGCAGGGCCGCTCTGGCGAAGTGGGAGGAGACCCGAGAGGAGAGAAGAGGGGAGGAGAGGGGAGGAGGAGAAAAGGAGGAGAGAAGGAGAAGGAGGAGGAGACGCAGGAGGAGGAGGGAAGGCGGGCCGCGCTGCCCCCGCCCAGCGGAGCCGCGGGAGCGCCGGGAGCCCCAGCCCCGCCGCTCTCCCCGCCCTCCCACGCCTTCCGCCCGCACCTTGGGCCGTAGGTGCGCGATCGGCCGCAGCCGCCTGGCCACAGCGGGCGCCGCGGGCTCCGCGTCCATCAGTCCCTCCGTCGCCGCGGGAGCTGCTAGGAGGCGTCATGTAGCCGCAGCCGCGAGCCCCCCGCGGATCGGCAACTATTTATTTATATTTATTTTTTTGGGGGGTGTCGGGGGCGCGGCCACACCGTCTCCCCGGCCCGCCTCCCGTCTGCGCGCCGCACCCGCCTCTCCAAGCCGAGGGGTCGGGCGAGGGCGGCGGCGGATCCCCGCGCAGGAGCCATGGCCGAGGAGGGCGCCGAGGTACCCCGCGAGCTGACAGGTAAGGGGCCCCCCGCCTCCGATCCTCGCCGCCGCGCGCTGCGCACTGCGGCCGAGTGCGGCGCCCGGGGCCGGGGATCCCCGAGAAGTTCGCTCGCGTCGGGCCGCCCAAGAACCGAGTCCAGAGAGGCCGGCGGGGGGCGATCGGGCGCCCGGCACCGCCTCCGGCCACCGCTAGGGGGTGCAGGCCGGCGGAGGGCGGGGGCCGCCCGGGTCTCGGGAGTTGCGGCGGCGACGGGACCCCTCACAGCGCCCGCCCGCGGCCCCACTCGGGATGTGCGGGGCAGCCCAGCGGGGGGCGCGGGCGGGCGAGCGCGCTGGAGGGGTCGCCGGCAGGGTCCCCCCCACCGCCCCTCAAAGTCCCAGCCGGGAGGTGCCCGCCAACCTGCGGATCCGGGGAAGGGGCGCCGGGCTGGGGTCGGGACTCCGCCGGGAAGGCGTGGCCTCGGCGCGGCGCCGGGAGCGAAGGGGTCACCAGCTGACGCGGCCGCGGCCGGAAAGCAGGGCTGAGGGCACAGCCCGGTTCTGACAATAATTAACCCACCTGGGCTCCCGCCCCGGCTCCGGAGCCTGCGGCACCTGGTGCCAGCGACCCCGCGTCGGAGCGCCCGGGGTTACGTTTGGGGAGCGGTGGGGGCTCCATGTTATGCCTTGGGGTCAACAAGTTTTGTGGGGGCTGGAGACGGGAGCGCTAGAATGCGGTGGGGACGGCTCTGAAAACCAGGGGTTCCGTGTGTGTGTGTGTGTGTGTGTGTGTGTGTGTGTGTGTGTGTGTGATGCATCGAGTGTGTGATGTGCGTGTGATGTTGTAGTGTGTGTGCATGTGTGTGTGATGTACTGAGTGTGTGTGGTGCGTGTACGCGCCTGTGTGATGTTACATTGTGGGTGCATGTGTGATGTTGTATCCAGTGTGTGTGTGTGTGTGCGCGTGTGCATGCGCGCGCTCTGAGCCCCAGGGACCTGAACCTCTTGGGGTCCCATCCTTGGCGCCCCAGGCCTGCAGCGGGGTGTGGAGCCACGCAGCCCGCAGCGGTGTCCTTCCGGCTCCCTGCGGAGGAGGGATTCGCCCCCCTCCTCCCCACCCCCCTTAGCCCAGCACTTGGGGGAGTTGGCGCTGGCAGGTGAGCCTGGCCGGAAGGGCTGTCGCCAGGTGGGTGTGGGCTCTGCTTGTGCGCGGATTTCGGGTCTGGAGTTGCTCGCTCCGCCTCGCTCCCGCCTCCTCCTTCTGTCCGGCTGCGGCGTCAGCTCCGCTGATAGGCATCAGCTCCCCGGGCTCCGTGGAGCGAGCGGTCTGTCCGGTTCTGGAGGCCCTGGAGCCGGCACCTTCCCCACACCCCGCCCCCAAGAGGAAGCGCGGGCCCCCAGCTGTAGGTGGAGGTCCCGGTCCCGGGAAGAGGGGACCAGGGCCGCTAAGGGGGGGCGACTTCTCAATCAGCTGCGGAGCCTGCAGTGAGTGTGTCACTCGGACCCCAGAGAGGAGGCGATGAGGACCTGGGGGGATCGGATGAATCCAGGATAAACCCTGGTTGTGTCACCCGCTGCGTTCAGCCTCATCTGGACGGACGTGGGGTTTTGTGTGTATCCAGTTGCTTGTCTCACATCCTTGGCACCAGGACACATGCTTTGGGGCCGTGCCCACCGTGGTCTCTGGGCCATGAAGTGGCCATTAGGCTGGGGGAGGGCAACACCTGCGCTAGGGTTTCCCTAACTCCAGGTGCTCACAGAGTCCCTCTGTGATCATTCAGGATGGCAGCAGGCAGCCCTGGCCAGGTGCTCAGTGGGTGAGAGCATCGGCCTGCTGTGCCAAGGGTGCAAGTCTGATATCCGGTCAGGCACATACATGAAACAACCAATGAATGTATAAGAGTAACAACAAATCAGTTTCTCTCTCTACAAAAGCAATCAATACATTTAAAAAAGGAAAAGAAAAGAGAAAGAAAGCAAACTCGTGAAAACCTCAGTATAAGGGATTTTAAAATATGCTGTGAACCTTTCTGATTATGAAAGTAATACAGGGTATTGATTTTTAAATTAAGTGCAGAAAAGAATGAGAAGGCCCGGCCGGTGTGGCTCAGTGGTTGAGCGTCGACCTATGAACCGTTCGATTCCTGGTCAGGGCACAGCCCTGGTTGCGGGCTCCATCCCCAGTGGGGGGTGTGCAGGAGGCAGCCGATCGAGCCATGATTCTCTCTCATTACTGATGTTTCTATCTCCCTTACTCTCTGAAATCAATAAAAATACATTAAAAAAAAAGAATGAGAAGAACATGTCATACCCATTGCCACTCAGAAAGCTAACACTTCTGGTAGATAGCTGTCTCTCTCCCTGTGCTTATAGTCCCAAGTCTGTTTCGGCAGGAGCGGAGGAGCGCAGGGAGAGAATTACCTAACAGTGCCGGGTGCCGGGATGGCGGTGGCGGCATCGCCAGGTGTGCAGACCGGAGGCTGAGAGCAGGTGACATTGAGTGGCAGCTGCAAGGTTTGGGCTCATCCCCAAAGGAGTGCCACGCCCAGACCAGGGTGAAGGGCCTAAGGAAGGGCCACTCTGCTCAGGGAGGGGCGGGCCTGAGAGGTCGGAGGTCAGGGACTTGGTCTTGATGAGAGGTTCTGAGGCCTGGACGAGGATCAAGGCCAGGGGTCAGGAGGTGTTGAGGGGAGAGTTTGGGGAGAGGGTGACTGGCTGCCTGTCTGAGAGAGACTTGGAGACCGGGTCCAGAGGAGGAGGAGGAAGACGCTGTCTCGCGTGGCCCTGTCCAGAGCGGGTGCTCATGGGGGTCCCAGGGAGACCTTCCTGCCCCCGTCCACATGGTCAGGCCTCCCTTTCTCTCTCAAGCCTCCAGGTCTGTTGCCTTTTTTTTTTTTTTTTAAGTCCTCACTCGAGTATATATTTCCATTGATTTTTAGAGAGAGTGGGAGGGAGAGGGAGAGACAGAGAGAAACGTTGACGTGAGAGAGACACGTCCATTGGTTGCCTCCTGCATGAGTCCTGACCAGAGTCCGGGGATACTTGCAACCAGTGGTTCTCACCCTTGGCGGCACGTTAGAATCACCTGGGAACCTTTTTAAAATCCTGATTTCTGAGGCCCAGAAATCAAGAACCACTGCTTGCAACCAAGGCACGTGCCCTTGACCCCAGGACCCCAGAATTGATCCCGGGACCCTTCAGCCCGCAGGCCGACGCTCTGTCCACTGAGCCACACCAGCCAGGGCATGAAATCAATAAAAATATATAAAAAAAACAACAAGCAAATACCTTACAAAAGGCAAACAACAACAAAACACCCCAAAATCCTCCTCCAAATGCTCCCCCGCCCCCAGCTCTGTTCTTGTTGCTAAAAGGTGGTGACGAATCTGTCCCTTCTCGCAGAGAGCATCAAGGACGTCCTTGGCAGGAAGGTCAGGATCGGCCTCAAGAAGAAGGTCAAGTTGGAAGGGAAAGGGGACAAGCTTGAAAACAAGGTGCTGGTAAGTGCTGGCTGTCCTTCGGGAAAGCCTTTAGCAGCGGAAGCGAGTACCCCCCCTCCTCCCCCTGCTCCCGTCTGACCGCCTCGTTGCCCCCTCCCGACCGCCTCGTTGCCATGCAGCCCTGGTCCTGTTTCATGTTTGGCTCACAAGTTCCCAGGACTGTGCTGGCCTAGATTCCCTGGAGTGTTTGTGCGCGGAAAGTTCAAGTGGAAGGATTCCAGACGGTGGAGTTCTCACAGCGTGCTTCTCCGGTGGGGTTGTGGGCGTCGCCATGTTTAGGCCCCTGAGCCTGCTCTCCTGTTCGTCGGTGTTTGATGTTCGGTGGGCCTCACGGATCATCGCTGTGGTGGCTGATGTGTGATCTGATTGGTGAGGATGTAGGGAGATGTTTCAACAAAAAATGGCCTTGGGTCGGCTTCGTGATTGAATGAACTTTTCTCAGAGGCTGTGCCCGCATCCGTCTCATGGGTGAGGAGTGAGAACGTGGAGAAGAAGTTGGTCCTTTGCCGTTGTTTTCTGGTGTCTTGGCGGGAGGGGCCTGCTGGAGGCGGTGTCTGGGGGCTGAGATGGACCTTGGGGTTCTGTGCACATTGCTGGGGGCTGAGGGGTGGGACTCGCTGGGCACAGCTGGTCGGGCAGCTGTCCGAGGCGCAGTGGCCCCTCGGAGCGGGGAGGAGCGTTCGGTGGGACCTCAGTGGCTGAGATGGGGGTGAACCCAGATCGCAGCTGCCGCGAACGCCCTGTGTGTGTTGTTGGTGGGAGAATGTTCTGTGTATCTTGTCGGGAATTCCCACTCACACCTGGGGGAGCAGCGCGGCTGAGCCCCGTGAGCTCTCTTCAGCCTCCGCCTTTCCAGCCGGTTTGCCGGTTTTCGCCAACACTGTTGTGTCTGCTTCTCCACGGGGGGTTGGTGTTTATCTTCTGGAGGATTTTAAAACGAATTCCAAGTGTATGTCATTGAAAAAGGATACGTATATTTAAAGTATATGTTTATTGATTTTAGGGAAGAAGGGAGAGGGGGAGAGAGAGAGAGAGACATCCCCGGGCATGTGCCCTGACTGGGAATCGAACCGTGACCTCCTGGTTCATAGGTGGGCGCTCAACCACCGAGCCACCGGCCGGGCTGGTAGCATCGGTCCCGAGAGTCTTTAAAGGACCCTCTGCCTCCCTGTGGACGCAGGGGCTTCTCTGCGATGGATGAGCTCCCTCGGGGCTCCGGGCTCCGGGCTCCGGGCTCCAGCCAGAGGAACTGAGGTGGGAAAACCTGAGTGACTGTTGGAACACAGTGGGTTCGCGTGGACCACATGGCTAGGGCCACCCCAGCAGAAATGAGCCGTTTTTCTGTTCCATTCGACTTTAATAAAAAGTTAAAGTTTCCTTAAAGCGTGTTTATTATTTCTGTCTTGATTTTGAGAGAGAGAGGCAGGGAAAGAGAGAAACCTCGATTTGTGGTTCCATTTATTGATGCTCTCATTGGTCGCTTCTTGGATGTGCCCTGACCGGGGATCAAACCCACCACCTCGGGGTCTCGGCCGACGCTCCAGCCGCTGAGCTCGGCCAGGGCCTCCTGGGCATGTGTTTTACTTTATGCTGTCCAACCTCAGGGCTGCAGGCCTTCGGGAGGGCTGTGCAGAAAGAGGAGATTGTGTTGCCCCCGTTTTTGGTTTGACATGTTTGAGGTCAATCCTCATACAAACTTCCCGGTCAGCGTTTCTCACGACTGTCTGACGGGGTAGGTGCTGCTACTCTGAGTGGACGCTGCTCACGGCCCGAAGAATAAACCTAAGTCCCGAGTGCAACTCACAAAGTGAAACTTTCAAAGACAAATGTACACGGTCACTGCTCTAGCCGGCGTGGCTCAGTGGGTAGAGTGTCGGCCTGTGGACTGAAGGGACCCGGGTTTGATTCTGGTCAAGGGCACAGGCCCGGGTTGTGGGCTCGATCCCCAGTGTAGGGTGTGCAGGAGGCAGCCGATCAATGATTCTCTTTCATCATTGATTTTTCCATCTCTTTCTCCCTCTCCTTTCCTCTCTGAAATCAATAAAAATATATTTTTTTAAAAGAAAAAAATTTAAATGGTCACTGTAGTGAAGTTAGCACCATTTAAAATAGTTATGATTAGTTCTCCATGTCAAGCTTTTGCGGGGGGCGGGGGAGGGAATGGGGCCCCTCTTGACCTTGGCTGGCTCCGGTGAAGCTGTAAGGAAACTGCACCCAGCGCTGGGATGTGAGGGTTGGGCTCCCAGAGTCCCCGCCCAGCGTGTCCCGGCCGCGCTGCCCTTGCACGGGCAGGAAGCGATATAGAAATAGCCCAGGTCCCACAGCTTCAAGTCTGAGCACGACGGTCTACGAATTAGCTGCCTTTAAGTTGTGGGTTTTGGAGTCTCTGAATTTTGAGAAAGCCAGTTACTCAGTTGCTTAAATGAAGACATTGGGGACCGCCTAAAATGGGCATTTCTGACTTTCTGTTGGCCCTTCGGTCACGAATGAGTTGGCCTGGTACTTTCCAGGTATCTTTCCCGAGCCTGTGTCTGTCCCTCTCCCCGCCCCCTCCCTCCCGCAGGGTGGTCCTCGCACAGCCAGGAGGGTGTGACATTGTTACTTGCTTCCTGTTCTCCCACTGGGAGATTTTATACCTTTTCCAGCTTATCTTTTGTTCAGGGTTTATCTTCTCCTTCCTTCTCCTCAGGGCCATCGGCCATCGAAGCTAATATGTATTGAACATTGACCGATGGTGAGGCTGTGGGCGGATCCCTTAATTATGCATTTCCTTGTTCCATCCCAGCAGCCCTCTGGGGCCCCCGCACTGCGTACTTCTCCACTGGAACGACCGGAGAGCCGAGGGACCTTGCTTCTGGTCACCCAGCTAGTTAACTAGTTAAGGACTAGTTAATAACAGAATCAGCTGTGCCTCACGCAGAGCCTGCCTGCTTCGCCAGCCATGTGCTCAGAGTAGAAAGAATGTGGCCGGTCCTTCCGCGGCGGCAGATTTTCAGCCCATGATCAGGGGGACTTGGCTCTTAGACGGATCGGCGCTCCTGTTTATTTGATTTGATTTCCTTGATTCAGGTATTAACTTGTTCCGGACTCTGAGCACCTACTGTGTGGCGGACACCTCGTGTGTGCAAAGTGCACGTAGATTCTGCCTTCATGGGACTCAGAGCTCAGTCTAGTCCAGGGGTGGGCAAACTTTTTGACTCGAGGGCCACAATGGGTTCTTAAACTGGACTGGAGGGCATGGATGGAGTGTTTGTGTGAACTAATATAAATTCAAAGTAAACATCATTACATAAAAGGGTACGGTCTTTTTTTTTTTTTAGTTTTATTCATTTCAAACGGGCCGGATCCGTAGTTTGCCCACGGCTGGCTGGCTAGTCACTAGACTCTAGTGCAGCGGTTCTCAACCTGTGGGTCCCGACCCCTCTGGCGGTGGAACGACCCTTTCACAGGGGTCGCCTAAGACCATCCTGCATATCAGATATTTACATGACGATTCATAACAGTAGCAACATGACAGTTATGAAGTAGCAACGAAAATAATGTTATGGTTGGGGGTCACCACAACATGAGGCACTGTATTTAAAGGGCCAGAAGGTTGAGAACCACTGCTCTAGTGGACGGCACACACGCCAACAGGCAGCACTGGGACAAGTGCTCCGAACTCGGGGACCGCTGCACATCGGAGGGGCCCTAACTCAAGCCGGAGGTTCGGGGGCGACTCCCAGAAAAGGGGATGGAAGGCCACACTGATGGATGGGTCAGCCGGCCAAGGGTAGACACATGTCCAGGACAAAGGGAACGCACGGGCCTGGAGGCTGGGGAAGCTCCCAGCATTAGGGACCTGGGTGGAGGGCTCCCGCTTCTCCTGGCGGCTGAAACGCAGGTGAAAGTTGGGACAGGTTAGACAGGTCTCTTCTCCACACCTGTGTCTAATGACATCCACGTGCACGTCACCCTCCCTTCTCCGGGGAGGAAGTGGGCCCAGTGGTAAAGGACTTGGAGCCAGACCTGCTCTCCCTGAGCCCAGCCGCTTGCAACAATGTTGACCCTCAGTTTGCAACGATGTTGACCCTCAGTCCCGCTCTCTCTAGAAACAGCCTTGTGTCTGTATCCATTCGTAAGCCCTGGATTTGGAGATTAACTGGGACACAGTTAATTCTGCTGAGTGCAGTGCTGAGCGCAGGATAAACTCCGGGCAGAGAAAGCCCAGAGAACCGGGGTCTCTGCCTCGGTTCCGTTTTCTCGCCTCCACGGAGGGGGGGCGCCCATTCTCCCCGAGGCCAGGAAGGCCTCGTAGCAGCCTGGACGCCCCGAACAGACCCAGAATCCCCGCGCTGAGCTTTGGGCAAAGAAACCAGGTGCCCAGGGCCCCGGGATCAACTGCGCTTGTCCATCTGGGTGTTCAGGATAAACCGGTGGCTGCTGCGTGGTGCTCCCGGCCGTGAACACGCCATGTGCCTTGTAGGTTTCCAGGGATGAGGGAGAGGATGCTGTCTTCCCCAGACGGTGCTGATTTGTCCAGAGCCCGTGGCGGTGGGTGGGGCGGCCCTGCCCGCTGGCGTGGCTCCCCCCTGAGGATGCCGTCGGTCCGGAGCGGCCCTCGGCCCTGGCCCGTGTTTCTGAGACGCGTATTCCCTTCTGCCGTCAGCTACTTGGACCTTCACCCACTTTGGCAGGACCCGGACTTTTAAATGCGCCTTTTAATGGATGCATTCTTTTACGATGGAACTTTCTAGTTTTCTGTAGTTGTAGGTTACATGCGGCTGTAAGAACGAACCAGAGGGAGCCTTTGCACCCTTGTCCCATATCCGCTACCTTGGGCAGCTGTAACAGAATGTCACAACCCGGGTGCTGACGCTGTCCCCATGGGCAGCGCCGTCCCTGTCCACGCGCCCCTCCCCACGTGCCCCTGTCCACGCTCCCCTCACCACGTGCCCCTGTCCACGCGCCCCTCACCATGCGCCCCTCACCACGCGCCCCTGTCCACGTGCCCCTGTCTA